CCCCAAAACCCCAAAACCCCAAAACCCCAAAACCCCTAAAAACAACTTTTTTTTGAAATTGTAATTTTATTAGCAAAAATGGGTAAGTCAAAATTTAGGCTTCTCAGGTTAAGTAGGTGGTCAGAGTACTGGAATTTGGCATAGTTGAAATTTGGGGCTAGAAAAGAGATTTAATGATGTAGAAAAGAGATTTACACTGGCAAGGAAGGGAAAATTAAGTACGAAGTTGTAGAAAGGTGAGGAGTTTGGGGTAGAGAGATATTGCTGGGATTAATGTGATGTAGGTTCACTTCCCTTTTACCCAAAAGCCGGCAGGCAGCGCCTGCCGCTTCCTGGTAAGCTTGCTTGTGACTTTATACGTAGCATGAGAGAGTTGCCCAATCTGTTTGGAGCATTTCAGAATTAAAGAAGGGAAATTTGTGAAGGAAAAGAGAGAAGTCAGAGAACAAGTGGTGGTCGTGTGCAGAGAAGCAGAGGTAAGGGAGGAAGATGTAGGGAATAAGAGGTTAAGGCTGGATGAGGAAGGAAAGGAGGAGAGATGGGAGGTTGGCAAAGTTACTGAAATATTGCAAGATGAGATAAAAGCCATTATCAAAGACAAGGAAGGTCTTCTAGCTTCAGACGGAGTCTGAGTCTTAGTTGCTTGCAACCATGGATTTCATAAAAGGTGCATCCAGACTTGGCTTGAAAAGAACAACTCTTGACCTATTTGTAGAACGGTAAGCCCAAATTGAAGATGATCCATCTCTTGGGGAATATATAAGCCTGTCTTTAGGAAACCTTCAAAGCTGATAAATACGAAGATAGTGACGATGAAGACTCTTTAGAAGAGAATTACACATTGGCTGAGTAAAATTGAGAGATTATTGATTATAGAGCTTATAGATACTATTTAGATGACTCCTCCTCTGAAGATAGTTTCAGTTATTATGACTATGATGATGCTTTTGACTATGATTATGATTTCTTTTAGATTATGCTAATGGGTGATGGAGAAAGTTAAGAAACCTCAGGTTCAAAAGCTGCTACTATTATTCGCTATCCTAACTTTCACCTTAAAATTTACTAAAAATTGTTCTGGTCTACTAAATTGTTGATTTTCAATGAAACTTCTTGAATAAGGGGTTTTGGGGTTTTGGGGTTTTGGGGTTTTGGGGTTTTGGGG